CTTTAGGAATCTGTGATGGATGTGTTTTGGACATTTTATAGACCTTATTTCTATCAGCCTGACCTTACTGGCATCTTTACAAACCTTGGTGTTTGAAAAGTGCTTGTCTACAAAATATGGACTGTTGACACTGAAATATTTGCTTTGGTTCCCCATAAAAGCTTTTTTGTGCCAGAAAAGAATATAATTCTTTGTAGATTTGGATTTAAAGATGATATCTAATATCCTTTCAAAATATATCAAGACCTTCAGCTAAAAAATGATAACTGTGATCAGTCTTCAAGAATCCGCAGGCGTTTGAACCAAGGATGTATTGTTATCTCAGACATGTTGTAAAGCAAAACTTCTCCCACAAATGCTAACTTGCCTCAAGGGTGTCTGTTGAGACCATGTGAGCCTAAAACTCTGTGCTGAAACCAACACGGATGGCCTCCCACCTCCCGGGCCCTCCAGGGTTTTCCCGTTATGAAGGGAAACTGTGGTCCAAACATCCCACACAGAGACTCGGCCAAGCACGGTGGAGATAGATCGTGGTGCTAGTCATGGGAGAGTCGGATGACAGCAGGATTTTATCATGTTGGAATGGAGCGTAGACTGGAGTCAGCTGGGACGTGTTAACAGAGAGTTTCAATAACGGCATTATTTACATTCATGGTTATAAAAGGCGTTGGAAAAAGTCAAATGAAGGATTTATTGATATATCTTGTGAGAGTTTGAAGGTTCCCAGGTTGGGAACTACTTGTAGATAATGTGGCTAAATAGAGGGTTTAGCATCCTGTCATGGTCCGAAGGCTCGTCTTCCTGCCTTGTTGGACACCGATCGATGTCTCTGTGTCCCCCAGATCTTAATAATGAACTTGGTTAAGGAAACAATACCATAACTGATAGAAATGATGGGAAAACTGTGAAAATCTAACCCAGGTTGTAGGGAAAAGAAGGAATTTTGCTAAAAGCTACAGCGGCTGAACCGAGTGATGGACCGTCCCTCTGTCTTTTTCCTTTCTTTGTGTCCATATTGGCCAGGTGTGTGTGTGTGTGTGTGTGTGTGTGTGTGTGTGTGTGTGTGTGTGATATGTGTGTCTGTGTCTCGTTTCTGAACAAAGGAACCAGAGAAGATGATGTCATCTTTTAACCGTTATGTGCCTGTCTGTGTGTCGGCGGTTGGGGGGATTCTGTAATTATTACAGTCTGTGTTCTGAGGTCACCTTTCTCACACATGGAGAGGACACGCACACACAAATTAGGATCTTTCATCATTTAGCGTTTCGTTGATTATTTCCTCTGAAAAACGGCTTCACAAACGAATATAAAACAAGAGGAGGCAGTAAAAACAGCAATCACCCTGACGTTCTCTGATAAAGTTTAACGTGAAGACAAAACCGTCAGAAACACACACCTACACCGTTACACACATTCACACACACTGATCACGAGTGGTTTGTTTTCACTTCAAGGACTCTTATGAAACTAAACCTCAGGAAGGAAAGATACATGGTTTGTGTGTGTGTGTGTGTGTGTGTGTGTGTGTGTGTGTGTGTGTGTGTGTGTGTGTGTGTGTGTGTGTGTGTGTGTGTGTGTGTGTGTGTGTAAAGATATTAATTCATCAGCATCTGTCATGATGTCACTGCTGTCCATACAGCTGCTGCTATAGCCTCAGTGTGTGTGTGTGTGTGTGTGTGAGGAATCTGAACTGTGTGTCTACTTGAGTGCCTGTTGTTTGTCAATGTGTTAAAGTGTGTAGCTCTAGCAGTGTTTGTGAGCCTGGGTACTCAGAACTGTGTGTGTGTGCGCGCACATTAACACTACAGGTTGGACAAATGATGTACAGCTTGCACTGGAGAGTATTCCCTGTGTGTGTGTGTGTGTGTGTGTGTGTGTGTGTGTGTGTGTGTGTGTGTGTGTGTGTGTGTGTGTGTGTGTGTGTGTGTGTGTGTGTGTGTGTGTGTGTGTGTTTATGAATATGAATATGAATACACCTTGTCAACACACATTCTTGAGCCTGAACAAAACTGCAGAGTCAGCTGAAATATGCTGGTACCACACACACACACACACACACACACACACACACACACACACACACACACACCACACAACGTATACACTAGACCACTACATTCCCATTAACACTCCACCATTCAAGGATGACCAACTCACTTTCCAGTTGTAGGATTTTGTCTTTCTGTTTCATTTTGGATTTGGTCCAAGTTGGTAGTTGGTGGTCGTGGTAATGTCGCTCTATCTTGTCTAGTCTTTTAAATGGCTTTCCCATGCAGGGGTGGATGTAGAGAACTATTCATGGCATGGCAAGAGCATAGCATGGCGCAAAAATGTGTGCTGAATGAATCACAAACAATCACATATATCAATATTTGCTTGGAAAAGCCCCCAAATGAAGATATTGAACTCACAAACATTACATTGTGTCACATTAGTAAAGCCTTGAATAGAAATATCAAAAGGTGGCATTAGAAATAAATCATTGAACTTAAGCCCATCACTTCTAAAATGCCACCATAAAAGATCCTTTAATTAATTCACGTTTTTAACGCGTTTTTAAAATGAAATGAAATGAAATGAATGTGTTAAATTTGACAACATTTGACACATCTCTCTGCCCTGAAACTGTTCTGTTTATCTTTCCCTTCCTCTCCCCTTCGCTCCAGTTTGTGCTCCCCCTCAACCGTCAGTCCGCCTTTCCCTTTGTTTTTCAAATGATGTGGTTCTGATGTAGTTCAGCCCACCTACACGTTGTTTTGTAATTGCTATTTTCCAGATTCACCCAGTAGGCTGTCTACACTCTCTCTTCCCTTGCCAGATTTAGATTTCAACAAAACAGTATGAAAAAAGTCACACGTCCTCTCCCATAATCTTTACTGTTTCTTTAACTCTCTGTCTGCTCATTGTGTCATGAGTTTTGTCTTGACTTTGGTTCATTTTGTCCTCATTCACCTTTCCATTTCCATACCATAGTTCCCACAGTTAGGTACCAGCAAAGATTTGCTTCCTTGTCACCTTTGCAGTTTGCGCTCTCAATCGGCCTTGACCTTTTTACGACAACCCTGCCTCCACACACACATAATACACACACACGTCCCCTTTGGCTAAACCGAAATGGGTTAATCCCTCATCACTCAAACTGTGGACTGCGCCAACTCATTCAGGACCGGGGGGGGGCGGTGGCTCAGGTGTCGCAGTCCTCTTTCACACAAAGGAAACCTGATCATGTTACAGTTCAGACACACATGCATGGACATACATGTAGGGCTACAAACATGATGCAGACATAAAGGATTGCACAGACTTACATTCACACTTTTTCTCTGCCCCAGTTTTTCCATCTGCGAAAGCATTTGAGCTAATGTTGTTAACCCAAAGAGGTAACTGAACCACTTTGGACAAGTTTTAGAGTGAGACTGGGCTTTAGCAGCAGGGTCTCTGTCTATTGTTACTGTGTTCAAAAGGTGTACTTTTCCCTTCCGTTTGTTCAAGCTGTTTTGTCTGACTGGTGTTTGTAAAAAAAAAAAAAAAAACCCTGAGCGTGGACTGTAACAACTACAGTATAGCGGTGGGGTTGGTAGTGTTAGCACAAGGCATCTATTGTGGGCAAATTAAATCCTCCTGGATGCTGTTCTCTTTTTGCAGTGTTTACTAGAACAACAGTTCTGTAATTGTGAAGTATTTTGGAGGGTTGTTGGCTGCAGTAGTTCTTCTTTCCATACTGACCATTTGAGCCCATTAAGCTCAATTGTCAATGAAACTCAACAATCCTTGTTCTGCACATTAATGCATTCTGTAGTTCAGCCGAAGCTAATGTGGCATTTCAGCAGTCCTACCAAAACAAGTTGTTAGTTGCTATTGTTATGGTCTTTTATAACACATTTTCACAATATTTGTTGAGATTACGTACGATTATTTTTGTCAGGAGGTGAGTATTACTAGGCTACTAGATTATATATATATATATATATGGTGGTTAATTCCTGACACAATAGGTTGATAATTAGCTTAAGGCCCCTTGGAGCCCCTAGATATTTTCAGAAGCCTTTGTGGCATACTCTTTCCAACTTGAGGTTGTTTTTGGCGGGTTTACACAAAACAAAAAACATAAAGCATCATAAATGAATGGAATTGTTGTACAAACAAAATGGCTGCACGCTAACTAGCTTCCCTCACACAAATCTGCTGTTAGCATATAGCTTCTTTCTAACTTAGAACCTCTTCACGTTTTCCCTCAGATTTTTTGGGGTTTATTTAATTTATCAACAGAAGTGCCTCAAGAATGGGGCAATTCTGCTCGGTCACATTTTAAATTAGAAAAGATTTGAATGACTTTATTATAGATACAGTATTGCACGTCTGCAGGCTATAGATACACATGTAGCTTACTGTTTGAATTATTACTGCCCCTTGTCTCAGTTCACATATTATGTCTCCTTCACCTTATCCTTCACATCATTTATCTTCAGTGGAAACCTTTCTCATTGAGTTGGATTTTGAATGTTCACTCCTGTGCCTGTAAAAGACGAGAGCTGTATTTTGATTCCTTGCACCAGTCCACATTGAACACTGTGTTCAGTCCGTTAAGGAATGCTGCAGGTTTGGACTATCGCCTGTGATTGTCTGTGCTATTGTAGAGGCAAATTACTTGTTATGAATGTGGATTTTGTTTTGATGACCAACTGAATCACCGGGAATGTTTACTCGGCCTATGAAACTACTGTCTGCAAACCTTTTTGATTCGTACCAACAATTTGCACAGCCATTCCCTTGTCTGTGCTGTAAATTGGTCACTTTGTGGCTTCTTTCACCAACACTAAAAAAAGAAAAATACCAATGTCATTGTCATATTGTGCTCTTAATTGTGCTATAATTGAGCTGTACATACCTGAACAATAGACACATAGATTGGTAAATTACTACGATGCTGTGAATGCTGCATGGAGACAAGATAAGTTTACTTTTACCTTATCTGTCCTCTTTTCTGTTTTTCTCTCCAGGGTCGACATGTCAAGACAGGACAACTGGCGGCCATCAAAGTCATGGATGTCACCGAGGTCAGTGCACACCATTCAACATATATACTTTTAATATTTTCATTAGCCTGGTTTACAATCAAACTGTACTATTAGTAGCTGAAAAATAATGCAATATTTCAAGTTTTTTATTTTTATTTTCAGTGTTTCCTTTCAAGTTTTTTTTTTACACATTTAAAATGGGCATAAAAACAGGTGGATGGAAAATCACTTATTGTTCATCAATGTAGAAGAATCTTTTTTAACTGCATGATGGCTAAACTGCTACTGTACCTTTGCAGGATTTTTTGGGTCTTTTCTGTGTCATTTCTGCAAGTAGTGTTTAATGAAGCAAACTGGTTCTTCTGTTGACTCAGATGTTTGAGAGATGTTACAGTTTGGTTTTACACAGCTGTATTAAAATATTTCCACTTTGAAGAGAGAATTGAATGCAGTAGTAATATGGGATACATGCATTAAAAATGCATGAGGTGAGACTAATACAGCGGCTGTAGCAGTTACCAGACTCACCATAGCAGACACAAAATTCAGCTTTTGCAGATTTGGAACTGATCCCAAATTTTGTTTCATTGCATCTGTCGGCCTTAATCGGTGCTAATTCTTCACTGAAGCATTCAGTATAACAGTTAACACTAAAACAAACAGTTTCTCTGACTCCCCTCCCCCTTTTCCCTGCTTCTGCACCCTCATGTCAATATTTTCTCTCCAGAAATAGTCCTAATTTTCAGGCTTATAATCACACGGCTTCCAACCCCATTTTTTTTTATTGAATAAACCTAAGTTTCTGTTTTAAGCCCAACAGATTTTAAATTTCCTGAGGGCAGTTTAGTGTTAAAGATTGAAGACTGGTGTTCGTCTGTTTGTGGGTGAAGCATGTTTTCAAGCCCATGGGTGCATGCTTTCCAAGTTCCACAAAGCTGAGTAAGGACCAAAAAGGCTGAGTAATTGGAGGCTTGTTTGTATGTGTGTATACACAGAAATGTCCGGGTAATCTTATAAAACTTAATCTTGCTATGGTGGTGGTAGTGAGTGCTTTTTGCCTTTCGTGTTACTCATCGTTGAATAGCTAAATGAGACAATAGGAAAAATATTCACAAACACACATTTGAGGTTGACCATTTCCTGCCCAGACGCCTTAAAGAGCAATGAGTGTATCATCAAGGCTGTCACATAAAATCCTTTAATCTGGGTCAACCGTTCTACTGAAGAGGATTGTACTGTCTGTCTTTTAGGACCCCGCTGGTTTTAGCTCTATCTCTAAAAACCCTAATACTTCACCCAAAGTCCCATCTTTAGGACAGGGTATGTAAGGCCCCATTTACACTCGTTTGTGTAGTGTCTCTTTTCCAGATAAAATCCAGTTGACACTTTAATTTACACTCATACGCATCACAAATATGTGTCTCTGTTGGCCACATCACAAATACAGTCTGTCTGGGTTTTTCCAGGCTACATGAAAATCAGGGTCGGCTCAAGAAGGAGGTGGTGATGCACCTGAAGCTGTTAAATGACTGCCAAAAATGGCCAAAATACAGGCATATGTGAGACATATGTTTTATCATCTTCATAGGAGAAAATATATTTCTTTTGACAACTAGTGATACATACACATGCAGGTCCCACTGTTCTTGTTGCTTCTGAGGCATGGTTCCCTTCAGAAGCTGTAAACATAGTGGTTCAATCACATGCGTATTGTGTATATTGCATGCACACATAAATGTAATACCTTTTTTGTAAGTGGCACTATTGCAGAGCATGATGGTTCAGAGCTATTGTTTGATTCTTTAAGCGTAACCCACCTTAAGGAACCATATGTTATTCTATTGAGACTAATAGGAAAACACCCTTTTTAAATGGGATGGCAGCATATATTGAACAGTGTTTTGTATTCTTCCCCAGGCAGCATTTTATTTTTACACTATGGAATATTTGCCGCCTCTGCAGTCTTCTGCCCTTTTTCACACCCCTCATGGTTTTCCTGTGGCTGCAGTCTGTCACACCCCTGAAGGAAAGAATGACCACAGCAGTTCTAGTCAGTCAGGGAGATCAATCCATCGGCGAACAATTAATATTTTGTTCTTGTAGAAGAATGGATAGAAAAAAGAAACCATTTGATTCAAGGCTGACTTTTTACAGCTAGGCCTGTAAAGAAAAGAGACTAACTTATCTTAGAATCATTAAATCTGTCTGGATTTCAGTGGGAGGTTTTAGTGAACTATGATATCCTTTTTTTGGCCACCTGGAGGCAGTGGAAACAAGCTGTGAACTCAACATTGGCATATCATCACTTTTTAAGTTAACAAACTTTAGTAAACAGTTGCCTATTTAGACATCCGGAGCAAATTTAGATTTGAGTTACAGTCGTGTAAGTGGGAGCACACTATATTTGCTCTATTGGTTTTTTATCTCAAAGACCTGAGAGGAATATCTTGCCCTTTAGCTGCTACAGGCTTCACTGTGTTCCTGATATCTGTTCTCCTGATAGTGAACCCAAACGGTACATTTCAGAGCCTAAACTTTAAAAGGTTCCTTAGAGATGAGGGGAACAGCAGAGTTAAGTGATAATTCTAAATGGGTTCGTCACTATGAGTGACCCTTTTATATGCATGAAGTAGCGTGATCCATTGCTAATGGAATATTAATTATAGCCGTTTTAAAGGCTTTCCCTCCTTCACTGAATATACAACAGAAAAGTTTAGGTGTTAAATTTGAAGACATTTAGTAATTGTGGGTATAGCTGCATCCTCCATGATTTATTTTTGATTAGTGAATTTACTTAAGCTGCCACTGTGGCAGGTAACCAGACACAGTTTGGAAGTCCCGTTAATCTACTTCATGGTGAAATATTGAGAAAGCATAGTTTGGGAGTGTACTGTGGCCTACAGGCACACATTTCCATTTCCAACTGTGGAGATTAAAGAGAGGACATAAAAAAGGATCAGGAATATGTTTATGTATTCATAAAATACACATGTGCGGAATATTCAAGATCCGGCGGTTCATTTCTTTTACCCCTCCGAAATGTTTCGAGTGGTCCTTTTCCACAAGGTTCAGCCGTTTTCTAAAGTAAACATTTTGAGTTTGTCTGGGTGCTTGCCAAGAATGACAGTTGAGCAGAGGAAGTTGTTTGCATTGGATACACTTTTCACATGCACACACGTACACACACGTACACACACATACACACACACACACACACACACACACACACACACACACACACACACACACACACACACACACACACACACACACACAGACACACACAGACACACCAAGCTCATGTAACATTTATTTGTGTGGGATCTGTGAAGGGAACCACAGGAGCTGTCACACACTTAATGTGTCATGCAAAAGAGCACAGCTATACATCTCCTTTCCTGTGTGTGCGTGTGTGTGTGTGTGTGTGTGTGTGTGTGTGTGTGTGTGTGTGTGTGTGTGTGTGTGTGTGTGTGTGTGTGTGTGTGTGTGTGTGTGTGTGTGTGTGTGTGTGTGTGTGTGTGTGTGTGTGTGTGTGTGTGCGTGTGTGTGTGCGTGCGTGTGCGTGCGTGTGTGCGTGTGTCCACTCTCTACTCCCTGTGCAAATCTCGGGATATGTGCTCTGACCCACATACCACTTCCTGTTCCATATACAGAGTGGGAGAGTGAGACAGGCTGAGGAGGGAGAAAGAGAGACACTTTAAAGAAGAGGATGACGAGTGAAATACAGTGTGTAGGGCTGGGCTTCATAGAAAGATATTTTACCACCACTGTTTTCATATCACTCTGTATTGATATATGCAAGGGATCACGATATAATCAATTCCATACTTCTGTTGAGCTTATAATAGATTCATTGTAAGTAGTTGTACTTGTATAGTATATACAACTTATACGTTGTAACTTTAAAACCTGACTCCTAGTAAGAGTCGATTCAAACAATCAGCTTGTTTGACACGCAGGTCAGCACAATGCTTTGTTGAGATTTGGGAGGTGTGTCCATCTGCTCCCCTGTGACCTGCAGTTAGTGGAGGATCAGACTGGAAACAGCCTTTAGAAAAACAGCTCAGTTCAGACTGGCTTCCATCAAATGAATGCGAGGGCTTTGTTTTTTTCACGCAGGGCTCAGGTCGGTTATGAACGTGGCCTTACCCGTAATAGGAATAGATCCCATATTCAGCATTTTTCTGATTATCCAATCCAATAAAATAAATTAATTTAAAAATGCACTACTTTGGCTGTCTGTAGTCACGCCCTTATCTGATTGGTTACACGTCACGAGTAATGACCTAAAAACACTTGGCGCTGACAGGGAAATGGAAGTACTTATACAAAGAAAAGTACAAATTGCACTTAAGTACATTCCCTGAGTAAATATACTTAGTTACACACTTCATTTTTACTGCAAATATACATTGGTTCTAAATATCAGTTATCGGTTTCCTTGATTACTAATAAGTATCTGAATCAACCCTAAAACACATTGGTTGACCCCTAATCCACCTTTAGGTGTGTAGGTTTGCAGACACCTTTGCATGCATCTTTGCAGAAGCATCAGTCCGGCTTTAGTGCCTATTAGTCTTTGTTGTAGAGTGTCTGCTTAGGTGTTTTTCTGAGGCTCATTTCAAGGGACTGGTCTAATTGCTGGTGTTTGTGACAGTAAGCCCTTTGCGTCTGTGTGCTTTGTTGGACATTTCAGGTGGTAAACTACATTTGTGGAATTATCCATCTTTGTTGGTTAATAATTTAAGCAGTGTCTATACATCAGCAATCTGTTTGGTGTCTGTCTTTATGTAGAGAGCATATCAAAACACCACTAATGTTCTACCTTATTTATGCACAACAGCTCTTTATGGTTAAGGTTTTTGTGAATTTGCCCATTGATAATTGTCATTATCTTTGCTATAAACACTTAAAGTTTCCTCTGAAGGAGCGTTTGTCTCTTCTGTCTTTCTAATTAACATCTGAAACCAAAACAAATGTGAATGTGGTGTGTTGAGCTAACTGAACAACCCTGCTTAAATAATTTCAAAATTGTGAGG